AATTTTCCTAATGTCATTATCATTGATATTGGTGTATAATTTAACACTGGCGATGCCACCTGTGCTCGGTAATTAAAAATTAATTAGCCTAATATTGCACATGAATGCAAGGCGCTATGATTTCAAATTTAAACTAAATTTTTTAAAACAATTGAATTGGTATATTTTATAACCCTAAGGTTTATAAAATTTTCGCCTCTTGTACTTATCTAGACAGTATTTAAACTGTTAATGATAATTATTAATTTTGCCAAGTTAAAAACTCGTATAATAACAGGAATGATAATCTTCCACAGTTGAATATTTCGGTTCTTTTATGACTTTTGATTGCGGTGCGAACATTTTATTTGCTGAAACTGATGAATTCTTTATGAAATCTTTCTCAATGCTTAAACCGCATAACTAAACTTCAGAAGTAAATTCAACAACATTGCGAGAAACGCAAAAAGTATCTTTGTAATTTCTGTTTCTCAAAATGCCAAATTTTAATGAATTAGATTAGATGTTTCCAATCATAACTTTGATATTTTTACTTTTTTAGCTTTGCATTGATCATTTTCTATCTTCAAACCGTAAATCTCTCATAAATTTTATATAATTTTTCTAAAATAATTTATAAGCAACATAGAAATAAATGCAAAACTTAAAAAATAAATGACGAGTGATTTGCCTCAAACTCGAAAATTGCTACATAAATTTTTTAACATATTTAAACACTTTACAATCAACTCTGTTTTACACTCACTTAAAAACCAAACATTTAAACACTTCACAATTAACACTATTTTGAACCCACTAAAAACGATATATTTAAAAACATTTCTCAATTATCACTGTAATACACTCACTAAAAAACACATACTCAAACATTCACAATTAACACATCTACATATTTAAACACCTCACAATTATGATTGTTTTGCACTCACTTAAAAACCACATACAGGGTGTCCCAGCGAGTTGAAAAAGTCCATTAGTGACCTTTAAATAGTAAAATTAAAAACAAAATTATATAGGACATTGGTAGATACTAAGCTAGTCAATCGCCTAAAATACCGTATGTTTCTTTGCATTTTTAGATGTAGATTTTTAAAACAATGTTTTTCCGCTAAACTTGTTTTAGTCGATTTTGCTTAGTTTTAGAAATAGACGGTTTTTTTGACGAATACATACACTTTTTAAAAATTGATTACACAAAAACTAAGACAGATAGAACAAATTTTTTCTTACTTCTGTAAAAAAGAAAGTACAGAATTTAAAGCTGTAGCAATTTTTTAGTGTTTTGCATTTGTAAAGATTAATAAATTAAGAACTCAAATTATATCAAATACAACGAGATCCAAAAATTTGTCGTAAACTACTTCCCTGGAAGACGAAATGGCAGAGGGGATTTTGACCCATAATTAACTTACCCGAAGAAGATAGTCGGGGACTTAAACCTTTTTGTAATTACACCCAAAACCAAAAATCACAAATGTTTGAAGATTTTTAAATAAACATCCGATAAAGTGATTTTTTATAAATTAATGAATACCGCTCTCTTTCCGATTTCTAATTTTAATTTAAACCGTGCAAAACAGTGTTAATTGTGAAATGTTTAAACATGTGGTTTTTAAGTGAGTGCAAAACAGAGTTGTTTGTGAAGTGTTTACATATGTGGTTTTTCAGTGAGAGCAATACAGTGCTAATTGTGAAGTGTTTAAATTTGTGGTTTTTATTGACTGCAAAACAGTGATAATAGTGAAGTGTTTAAATACAGGCTGTCCCAGCGAGTTGAAAGAGTCCATTAGTGTCCTTTAAATGGTAAAATTTAAAAAAAATGTATAGGAACATTGATAGATACTAATCTACACTACATCTAAAAATACAAAGAAACATACCGTGTTTTATTTAAAAAAACACAAATTTGTATCGTAACTTATTTTTGGGACATGCTGTATGGTTGAAAATAATTTTAGGTGATGCACTAGATTAGTATCTATCAATGTCCTATATAATTTTTTTTAATTTTACCATTTAAAGGACACTAATGGACTTTTTCAACTCGCTGGGACACCCTGTATTTAAACACTTAACGATTATCACTGTTTTGCACTCAATAAAGACCACAAATTTAAACACTTCACAATTAACACTGTATTGCTCTCACTTAAAAACCACATATTTAAACACTTCACAATCAATTCTGTTTTAGACTCACTTACAAACCACATATTTAAGCATTTCACAATTAACACTGTTTTGCACTTTGTAACGGTTTAAATTAAAATTATAAATTGGAAAGAGGGCGGTATTCATTAATTTATAAAAAAATCACGTAATCGGTTGTTTCTTTAAAAAAAATTCAAACATTTGTCATTTTTGGTTTTGCGTGTAATCACAAAAAGTTTAAAGTCCCCGAATATGTTCTTCGGGTAAGTTAATTATGGGTCAAAATCCCCTCTGCATTTCGTCTTCTAGGGAAGTAGTTTACGACTAATTTTTGGATCTCGTCTGTTGTATTTGATATAATCTGGGTTATTTTGATGATTCGTAATTAGGATATTTACCATCGCCTGTGCCCCTACGGAAAATCAATTACGTGGCGCCCTGAAAATTCAAGATCGAACTCCGTCGACCCGCTGACTACCGGCATTCGTGAGGGCTATCATTCAGACGTGTTTGTTGTATATTGTAAAGAAATTAAATAAAGCCTCACAACTTACTAAAAATCTACATGTTCAAACACTTCACGATTATCACTGTTTTGCACTCACTAAAAACCACAAATTTAATCACTTCAATTAACACTGTATTGTTCTCACTTAAAAACTACATATTTAAACACTTCCCAATCAACTCTGTTTTGCACTCACTTAAAAATCATATACTTCTCTGATTTTTGAAGAGGAAGGTGCAAATCCAAAAAAAATAAAAAATTAAGTCTAAATATTTCAAAAACGGTTAAACTTAGGTATACGAAAAGCTGATAAAAATTCTCTTAAAATCACTTGAGTAATCCGAAAATGCAATAAAACACATAACTTTCTATTTAAAATAACAAAGTTGATACCCACTTACGGGTATCCAAAAATGCCACCATTTTGAAAAAAAAAAAACTTTCAATACTTCTAATGTGGGGTTTAGCCGAAACAGTCTGTATGTATATGGACTTTTCATTTTACATAAGTACCATAGGTAATATATACAGGGTTATTCATAAATATGAAGCAATATTTGAACTCGGAATGTGGGTATGGAAATTTGTTTTTTTGTAATAACTTCGGAACCATTTGACCAAATATTATAAAATTTGAAATGGTTACTTGCGAGAACATACCTTTTAAACTAGTAATTTCGAAAACCGGATACATCTACTCAATTTTCGGTGCCAGTAATTACAGGTCATATTTTCTGTGCTTTTTCGTTTGTTTTTTTTGGCCTCTTAATTTTTTTTTGTCAAAACAATAGAGTAACCAATTTTGAATAAAAAAACGCATAACCTTTAATACCTCTAAAATGGACCGTTGTAAAGATATTTTAATTTAAAGTGAGACCTACACAACACTGAAAGCAAAAAGTATGAGTGACATCTACGGCAACAAATGACCATGGTCACATATTTTGCTGTCAGGCATCTGTCAACTTGAAATTGGACGATTATCAGACAATTAATCGAAAATATTTAATAAAAGAGTTTAGCCAAACATAACTTAGAATAAATCCAAATGGATCTCCTAGCATTTAATTCATGAAAAATTTACAAAAATTTATCGTCAAAGTTAAAAGATTCCTGGCAGGGATTTATGTGACCATGGTCATTAATTACCGTGGATACCACTTATTCAAAATTCATATTTTCAGCGTTGCAGTCCTTACTTTAAATTAAAATATCTTTAAAACTGTCCATTTCAATGGTATAAAAGGTGTAACGGTTTTATTTTGTTAATTTTATTTAAAACGTCCTAAATCTAATTACACTATATTTTCGCCGGTCTAGGGGGCGTCAGAGGGCCCTAGAGATGCTTGGGGACTGTAAGATCGTTGATGCAACCTCATCTAGCATTCAACTAAAAAGACCAAAACATAATAAAATACCGTATCGTGTTTACCTTACCTGCTCCCGTCATTTGGGTTTTAGAGTCATTTTCCGTTTTGTT